CATGAAGAAGAATCGCCAAAAAGTGTATTACAGTCAAAAGTCGTTAATTCGGACACCCATAATCCGGAATGATCTATAATCCGGACCTCAAAGCTAAAAACTTTCTGCGCATGCGCCGCATTGGTGCATGCGCATAGGCGTTTAAGCGTGTGCGTAAGACCTTTACGACTGCACATTTGCATGTGCACAAGCGCAGAATACGTTTTCGCTGCGCGTTTAATGTATAACGGACGGTATAAGCTAAAATTATCTAATTTTCTATTTCAGTTAATGTTGATGATTGCGTTGTCCCTTAATCTTCGAATTGGATCCGGCTTATTATTTTTTGCAGACTGTAAGAGCAATTTTATAAAAGTAAGCTTGAACTTTCGATTATGTCAAATAGAATTTCCGATGCTGGAGCTCCCAAAGGATCTACGAAAACGAAAGTATGTTTCGATGTCCATCAAACAAAAAGTGGAATTGCTCCAAAAAATGGATAAAGGCATATCCTTTGTTTATCTGACCGTTCCAAAATCTGTTTATGAATTTCACGCTGCTCTGCGCGGGGGGGGGACGTGGCGGCGCGCAATGAACTGGAAGTTGATCTGTCAACACTATCGTTATCTTCAGGGCAGATGTTTTTATTTTATTCGGCTTATAATTCCTTATTAAATGTAGTATTTCATCTCGATGTACTTCGTCTTTGATATGATTTAAATCAAATTCCTCGTCATTATAAATATCACGAATACAAATCAAATAGTTTTCTGGTTGCAATTTTCTAATTTCGGCTATGCATAATGTATGCTTTACGCATGCGCGCGTTGAAAGAAATGTTTAATATTAATAAAGTAAACAAATAAATATTAAATTTTTTTTTTGTAAATTTTGATACCCTTTAGATCATAATTGCTCATTATTTTATAAATTACGGTTTCATATTTTTAATTTTATAATTTCTGCATGCCATCTTACCAGATTTAAACTAATGATCTATAATCCGGAAAAATCGATAATCCGGAATCACCGAAGTACCGACGAGTCCGGGTTAAAGACTTTTGACTGTAATATTTATTTTAGACAGTTTAGCAGCATTCAGAGATTTTATCTGATGATTACTTTTGATTTGAAAATTAATAGAAAGATTTATTATTATTAGTTTTACTAGAATTCAAGTGATATTTAAGAATCTACCAATCTCTCCTTTTCATTTGATAATTTAATTGTTGTTTTCTTCTTATGAGTTTGTGCCAGCTTCAAGTTCATCAGTGTTAAGAATACTTTTTTATTCCTGAGTTTAATGGTTTTAAGCTGTTGCTTTTATTTATTAACTAAGCCTGAAGCTCTTGTAAATATCATACTTTTGCATTTACAGACTATCTTGTGGTTCATTTAAAATAGTTTTTCTTTTATTCAAAAGTTAAGTAATTATTGAAAGCATTGTGTGGCACTTTTGTTTCACTTTATCCCAAACTTCTGCTATTTTAAATTCAACAGCAGTAATAATTGTAGTAGAACAAACAGTAATCATCTTTGTATCTTCTTACCATTAAGTTCCCATAAATTTAATACAGAACCTTCACCATCAGTGTCCACTGTTTATGTTAGTTCTCTATCTCATTTATTTTCAGTTGAATATCTGTAAACAAACATTAGAATTGTATTCTTTTGTAAAATATAAAATACTTAAATCATCTGCTGGAATTTTAAAACAGAAGTTTACATATTGTCTAATTCCTACACAGTGCATAAGAACACTTAGTAAATGCAACAGAATATTCATTATGCAAAGAATACAACTAGTGTGTTACAGCCAAAGCTCCAGATAGAACAGAAAGATAAATAAAATCAGCTGTTGCCAATTCTTGATATCAAAATTAGAATTCATATCTAAGTCATCTTTAAATAATTATTAAATTGTTTTTTAAAGTTAATTATAAAAACTGTGAAGGCAAATGGAGTTCCTCTGGATTAGTCTTTGATGCAGACAATACATCAGTATTGGTATTCCTTTTTTAAAGACTGATGTTGTAGATAATTTTCCCTATTTTTGTAGATTATAAATTGTGCGTGTAATCTTTTAAATTTAGCATCTGAATAAGATGTCCCTTCCTTATCAGGAAATGAAGATGAATTTATTATTGATCTGCTATTTTGAAATGAGTTCTGAAGGGAGAGAAAACTTGAAACAATTTCAATAACTGCATAGTACTGAAATAAGAAAAATTTTGAAACATATATGTACAAACAAGTTGGAAACATTTGCCAGTTATTGTAAGCTTTTCTTGCAAAGATTTGCAAAAATTTGTTTTTGTCTTTAGACCTTCTCCTCTGCATGATCATACAAAATGCAAGAGAATCAGTATTGTTACTAAAACAAGAACTAAATGTAGATTCAGTATGAAGATTACATACTGGACAAGCTTTATCAAAAGCAGGTCTATGTGCCAATTGCAGTGAGGAAGAATATGATGTTTCTTTTTTGGATAAAGCAAATTCTGCTATTGTTTGTACTAATAACTCTTTGAAAGCATATTAAACTGTGGTTTTTCTGTAAAATGTTTGAAATACTGAAAATATTTTTATGCTAATTACGTTTAACTCTTTCACATCGAAGTCGCTTGCCTTGAATGCCTGAATAATTTCTTACCTAGTGCTTTCCCCATCACATTACTACATTGCTCATTGCTTTGCTTTCAAGAGTTGTTAAATGACATGTCAGTCATTCTTCCCAAAGTATATGATGATGTATAGACTATTCTATGTTCATATAAACTGGATTCTAAGTTAACTTTTGATAAATTTGAAGTATACTTAAGTTTCATTGTTCATAATAAAATACTACTTGTTCACTTTGATAAATCATAACTTCGTGTCCTTAACAGTTTGCACATCTCATGAAATTGCAGTTGGGAAGTTCATTGTAATATGTACCCTATTTTACTATTATCCACAGAAGCAAATGTTTTGTAAATAATAACTTGGCTCCCAGATGATTAAAAAAAGAAGGAAAGAAAACTAATTCTTAAATTTTTTCAATGCAATTATAATTGTGCAAAACTACAGATTTGTTATACAATTTCAGTCTATACAAATTGACTGGTATTCCAACAATATAAAGCACATATTCTAAAAAATGCTATTATTTATTCCACTACATGTATCTAATTGTGTTTATAAAAAGGCTGCAATAATACACGATTTCTCCAAGTAGTGAAAACGTCTACTGGAAAACAGGAACTAATTCCCAATAATTAATAGACATAAAATACATAATTATTCAGTACATATTATTTACCAATCATCATACCATAAAAATGCACATGTTTCAAATGCTGCAACTTGACGGGCATAGCTATGGGGCCAAGTTCGAATCCTGGAGAAGGCATGGTTGTAACTGTCGGTCTTCTTCACAGAGGGCAACAGTGGCCACCCATTAGGTGATTCCATAATGAAATGACCACCAGTTCCGGTCCTTGTACTAGTGCAAGGCTAATGGCTATTAAATAAAGTGCCCAGCCGTTTAAAAAAAAAAAAAAACCCTTATAGATTGTACTTTAAATTATTAATAAGGTAGTATTTATAGTTTTGTATTTTTAAAACGTATTTCTTTTTTGTACATTTTAAAAATCATTTTTGTCGATGAAAAAAATTATCCCGTTTTCCTGTTTTCTTAAAAAAAAAAAAAAAAAAAAAAAGTCTATTGCTATTTGAGTTTGCCAGTTTAGCTTGATCTCTCAAGAGTAGTACCCCAAAACTGCTGGAATTTTTTCTTTTAATTGACTTTAATTTTAACTACAGCTTTTTTTTTGAATGCATTAAAAGAACCTGTACCTTCAGTAGTTAAAAGTTATTAAGTTTTTTACATTTAATGGCAGAAATTTAAAGACGTTTAATCTGTTAGTATCTAATTTTTTCACTAGGCATGAAAATTACATGCCTAGTGAAATAAAAAATATCAGTATTTGAATATGTAGTAGTAAAAAAAAATCCAAATTTTATTTAAATATGCAGTTTAATATTTTTTCACAAATTATATATGTCATCCTGCTTTGAAATGTAATGAAGCACAGTTTTTTTATAAATATGGAAATATATATATATGGTGCATTTGCTTAACTGATAGAGAAGCTCTGCATTGTTTGGAATACCTTTACTTCGTATACATATTTTGACTTTGTTTATTGGAGAATAATAACATTTAATAATACTGGCAAGTTGTTGGCTTACTTTTAAGTAAACATGGGATAATAACTACCTCATATATGATAGTCCACAATTATAATTGAATACATTTGATTATATGTACTTAACATTTAACTCTCGTTTTGCTAAACAGCTTTAAAAATGTAAACAACAGCCATATAGATTTTTGATTTTGCTCATAATTTTTTTTTCGGTTCTTATAAAATGCTTTTTCATGTTAGAACTGTACCAGGCAACCACAAAGATAGTCAAACATATGATTTTTGTGAAGTCACAAAGTCCCGTGAATTCATGACATTTGGGAGGGAAAGGGGTGCAGATAATTAAAAAATACCAAAATCTTTTAATATTTTGCAGCATACCACCTAAAATGTAAAAAGTAACCATGATTTTGTGATTAATTTTGCCGTATAGTACATTTTTCTATATCTGTACAACATTTATACCTCCTGTTATAGTTTTCCTTTTTTTTTACCAGAATTTTATTTTATGTATATGGTATACTTTGTATGTATATATTATACTTTCATGTATATGGTATACTTTGTCTGTATGTAGTATACTTTGGCATGTATATATATATAGTATACTTTAGCATGTGTGTAAATTGTATTTTAGGCATATATGTATATAATATACTTTTAAAGGAAGTTTTACCTCTGAAGTTTTATAAACATATCTTTAAAACAAAAAAAAATTTTTTTTGATGTCAGGTATCTGAAATTTTATTTTCTGTTTTCAGGGTTTTCTATCTGATCTACCAGAAACAGTATCTCATGGAAACCAGGTAGAAAAAGATGTTCCCAAGTTAGAAAAAGAAGTTGTATCCATTTATACAGATTAACAGTGCTGAAGAATGTGATAAAAACAAGTTGGATTGCTTAGTTGAAATTTCTGACAATTCAGTACAAAGTACTGATTTTCAAGCAAATTTAATTGATGAAAAAGTTTGCATTTGTAAAGAAGATGAAGTATCATTAAATGATGCAAAAAATAAAGTTAGTTTTCACTCAGAAGACATTATTTCAGACAAAGCAAGTGCAATTAAAAGTGTGTATCCTAGTCTGAAAGACACTGAATACAGTGAGAAAGTAAATATAGTGAAGAGTATGTATCCAGACCTGAAGAATATTGAACATTGTGGGAGAATACATAGTATAATAAGTACTCAAATACTTGTGAAAACATATACTGAAGAATTTCAAAATAAAATGGTATCTGAAGCCAATAAAGAATATAATGAATTTCAAGAGGTATGTAATATATGTAAATCATTATCATGTGTAAAAATTTTAACTGTTTTGTAATTTTAAAAAAGTGTATTATTATTTTTATATGCATACCATATTTATATATTAAACTCTGTAAGTGTTTTATTATTGGTGTGTAAATTTGTGCATGAATCATAGTAAACAAGTATGAGTAATTAATTAACTGTATTGCAAAACAGTGAACAAATTTTTTGTTTAGCATTATTTTTATTATTTTATAGAATTTGCTGTTCTTTGGTAGTATAAATTAAATCCAAATTCCGTACAGATGTAAAGCGAATTATCGCTGTGCCTGAGAAGAACTTCAGTCTTAAGAAGGTTTAACAAATCTTTTTATTAAATCTGAACTGGAACATGCATGTCTACAAATTAGCCATCTACTTGGGTGGTGATGTAACTAAAAGTAACAGTAAATTCGAATTTAAAACTTAGTAGCCAAGGCCTATACAAAAGTTGCCTCAAACTTCTTGCTGCATAACAATTGAAATGTCAGCAACTATAATGCAAAGTTGAAAAACATGTTCTTACCTGGCTAATAGAAACATAGTATCATGACCTCAAGAGGCAGATATGGATCCTGTTTTACAATCCGAAAACCCCGCCTTTTAAATACTCTAACGAATTTGCATTCAGATTGGAAGATGGAAAGGAGAAGCTGCAGTAAAGATCTTAATTGTAATAATTGGATAAATTAACATAAAATTTACAGTCTTTCCTACCAGAATTTACATAATTGCAATGAAGGTCTTTAATGACCTTGGTAAGATTTTAAATTCTAAACCTAAACAAGAGCCAGCTTTTTACAACTAAGAAATTGTTTGCAAACGATACACATCACTATACAGTTCTTGAGGACAAATTCATTGCAACTAAAAAAATTTTTGATGGGCATTTATCAAAAAGTATTTTAGCACATTTTATAAATTTTCTTTTTCAATTGAACTTTATCAGAATCTTTCATACATTTTTTAGTTATTTTACAATAAGTTCTCCCCCTTTGCTTTCCAGCAGTGTACTGAAATGTGTGAGCATGTGCCATGGTATAAGTATTTTCAGCTTCTACCTCCTGACCAAAATGCTACATGTTAATAATTTAGACACATTAGACTTCAATGAACACCTTAAATTCAAACTATTCCTAATGTGCTGAAATTTAAAATTTCATTGAACTTTAGTGTTTGTTGAAGAGCCTAACTTTAACTAGATGCATTTACAAATCTAGCTTTTACTTTAATTAATTTTAACATAACATGCTAGTTTGCACTTAAATATTTCATGCACACATCATCAGCTTTACTTTTGCACATAGTTAACATAAAAGTTATAAATTTGCAAAACTAATTTATCAAACATATTTCATAAGATGGTTACAATTCATTTATATTCAAAAGGTAGCACAGTTTACACTTCATAGCAAAATGTATAGAAGTTGCTTGCAATGTATATTTCTAACAGTATGCCAAACTTTTCATAAAACAGTCTCTTAGAGTAAAATCAAAATTTCGTTTTTGTACTAATAATAAAATCATTCAGATAATGCACAATTAACAGCTTTTGCTGTATACAAATCTTAAATGTCCTTGCTTGATACAAAAATTAAAAATGAATAGCAACTGTTGTACTTTAGATTTAATCTAAAAACTGAATACTTGAAGAAATTAAATTTCACTTATCTATCACTTTGGCGATACTCCTGCATTCTGTTCTGCTCATAGTCATTCTAGGAAGGGAATGTGACCACATGTGAAACTTGCACGGATGCCTGCTTGTCTTGGCACGGATGCTGCTCAGCTTATGAGTGCATTGGAGTTTATTGCTTCAGGGCTTTTTCACAGATCCTGGTGGACTTCCTTTCCAAGTGGAGAAATTCTGTCAATATTGGCTGCTTTGTTGCTCTTGACCTCACTGTTAGCCTCCGTTAATTTTCCTGGGTGTTGCTGTGCCATCACTCCTTTGAAACTTTCTCCATTGCGGCAGTTCATCATCAGTTGTGCATTTTCTGTTTGAAAAACCTAATGACTCTACGATGTAAATTCACATATACATTGGTACTGTTTGTCTTGGGCGGCAATAACTTTCATTCCTTCAAAGGCCAAAAACTCTGTACAGTGCGCTAGAGACCGAACCTTCGACCTGGAATTTCCGTACAAAGTTTAGATGAAATGGGCTCTAGAAGGGACTCATCAGTGGCGGCGCAGACCCCACAGTCCCTGCCCGGCTTTATTCATATCCTCTGTGAGGTAAAAAAAGAAGCTACGAAGAATACGAAGAAAATACGCTAAGTCACCTTTGCTTCGGGGCACCACTCCCTCAGCAGCGGATACATTTGTGATAGGTGCCTCACCTTACTCTGTCAGTCCCCGTCACTGGGACTATGAGGGCCAAACCCCCATCGAAGAGACCCACTTAAATCTACATATTAGCTCAACCACAGCCGAAGGAACAGACACGGCAGTACCAGTACGGTCCCTGCCAAGCCTGAACCAACCTAAGTACAATACTCGGGTTCTAGTCCTGTGAAGATTGTTTGTATGCCCCCGTGGTTGAGACTGCCTAGGTACAGATCCTAACCAGTACTTCCCAGGAATTCTCCTGAGTCAACCCCCGGGGGGGGGGACTCTGTACAATTTAAAATTCTTTCTAAAAAAATTTTCTGCGAAGAAACTTCTTTGTGCCCCCGTAGCCAACAGTGCATCTGCTGGTACATTGTTTAATAGAATGTGAATGACTGGCAAGGCCAAATTTTTTATTGTTACTTTATTCAAGTGAATCAGATTGAGATTTTCCTCCATCCATTGTGACTGTGCCATCTATATTTCAGTCCTGTTATTAATTAAAATTTTTTATATCTTCCCCTTATTTCCTCTTTTGTGATTTATCTTGGTAATTGCCACTCACAGGTGAAAATTTCTTTTTATTATCAAACTATCTACTGGCATCAAACCTTGGCTTACCTTTCACTACAGGCCTATGAAATTGTCTATTTAATCTTTGGCCGTATTGCAACATGTGCATACTTTCTGATCTGAACTTGTGACAGTAACCTAGGCAGTATAATTTGGATGACCTTAGCATTTGTTTTTTTTTCCCATACAATAAATTTACCAGGTGTATTTTTCTCAATATAAATTCAGTCAGTTCGGCTTTAATAAGATATCTACTAAACAATTCAGCTTCCACCTTCTCTCAGCCTTTCACCATGGAGAATGCTTTTACTGGGGTGGCTTTGAATACTTCTAATGTAAAATTCTCACTGCTTGGTCCACTCAAGAAAAATTTACAAATGCCTGTGTACCAACTCGGTGCCTGTCCTCAGTGGTGTGGCATTTGCTATGGTTACTTTCTGCACTTCTGCAACTGGTAAAGCATAAAATATAAATCATGTTGTTCCAGAAAAGTCACTATTGAATTCGAAAGTAACTGCCAATTTCATTGACCGGTAGTTACTTTCGCATTATGTTCACATTGTATTCATGATGAACCCAAAACTTTCCGTGGAATTTACTGGTAAGGGTGGAGCCTGTCATCTTGGGGAGGCCAAACTAAAAGTTGCATTGTCTTGAGCCATAGTCTGAGATTTTATTTGAGTCCCAGTATAGAGTTTGGTGTTCTTTGTTAGCATAGACTAAGTCCCACTCTGTGCAGATGTAGAGGGAATTATAACTGTGCTTGAAAAGAACTTCAGAGTCTTAAGAAGGTTTAACAAATCTTTTTATTAAATCAGGACTGGAACATAGGTGCGCATCTTGTGCTTATAAATCAGCTAACCAATTGTGGCGATGTAATTTAAAGTTTAAATTCAGCTAAAAGGTTAGTTTTAAATTCAAATTTAAAACTAAATCTAGTAGCCAAGGGTTACGTAAATGATTTAACACTGAGTTGGCTCGAACTTCTCACCAACGTAACTGGAACATAAATGCACATCTTGTGCTTACAAATCAGCTGTCCATTTATGGCAGTGTAACTTAAAGTAACAGTAAATTCAAATTTAAAATTAAATCTAGCAGTAAACGTAAATGATTTGACACAAAATTGGCTCAAACTTCTCACCAACATGACTTTGAAGTAACAATTGAAATGTCAGCAATTTTAATGCAAAGCTGAAGAATACAATCTTATCTGAGCTAGCAGAAACTTAGCAATGTGGCCTCAAGAAGCAGAAATATGCTGTGTCTTACAATCCGAAAATCTCGCCTTAATTACTCTCGAGCTATCTGCATTCTAGTATGGAAAGGAAAGAGAGAAGTGACAATAAAGATCTTAATAATAGTAATTGGTTAAATTAACATAAAGGCACCTTATAATTTTAATTATTTCTGATGAGGTACACTGCCCCCCCCCAAAAAAAGGGGGTGACAGTCTTATATATCTCATTCTACTGGGCCGATTGACAAAGTTCAACTTGCGTTTTTCATGTCTCGAAAGTGCAATTTAGGATACGTATTAGATTTATATATAGTATTGTTCTAATATCGGTATTTTGCCACAAAATGAGACTTTTTTTAAATAGTATACCAAGTTTTTTCCATACTTCAATTCTACAACTCAAATTACGCCAAACTACCAAGTTTTGTAAAAATTGCACAAGTAGTTTTTAAAAAAATTAACTCTAAAAATTTTAGCTCCTCAATTAATTGAGTTTGTAATATTTATTAATCTCTTTTTTTATTAAACTTTTTGATTTTTCCTTAAATTTCGAAATTCAGGTTCATTCCAAATAAAATTCACTCATTTCTAATGATTTTTTTTTAAAATTTGTATTTTAAAATAATTTTTACAATTGTTTTTTAAAAACAATTTTGATTTATAATCTATAAAATTTTTACCATCATCTTAAAGTAGGCATATTTCTAAGCATACCTGCAAAAAATTAGAGTTTTTCATTCAAAATTTCCGAAGATGTACATGAATTTATATATTGGCACATTTTGAAATTTGGCATATTTGTTGAAAGCAATAAAACACCAAATGTGGTTTACCCT